CAGGGTTTGGTGGCCAAGCCTGGGTGCTCCTGGGTGTCCTGCATTACAGGAAGCAGCTGCAGGATCTTCTGTGCAGTGGGATTGTCACAGGGAGAACCCTTCCTGGCCTGTCCCGGTGCAGGCTCCACGCTGTCCTGAAAATCTTTGGAGAGAGGGAGGTGGGGCTCTGAGTACACTGCGAGCCTCCCCTGCTCCGGCCTGTCCACCCCGCCTGAGGGCTCTACTCACCACTCTGCTCCTCCACAGCCCCAAGTTCCTGGGAGGCTGGGGCCCCTGGAGCGGGCTCATTAACAGGGTTCTGGGCAGCAGGGAGGAATTTGTCATGCCCCTCGTGGTCACCCACAACCGGCAACACCATATCTTGCAGCTCCAGCAGCTTCACCTGAAGGGAGGGGTGCTCAGTTACCACGCCTGAGCCGGCGCCAGCACCCACCCTCACCCCAACCCCGCAAAGATGTTGCACACCCTCTACCTTCATCTCCTCCTCGTTCTGGGCCAGCCTGCTGGCTTCCTCCTCCTGGTGCCGCGTGTTTGGCACTGCCCCCTGGCTCTCATATACCGTGATGTACTCTCCTGTGAGAGGACACGGCTGAGACACTGGGGCCCCTCTGAAGGCCCTGCAGCTCCCCGTGCCCGTGCCCTGGCCTCCTGCTTACTCATGCTCTCTGTGGCTCCAGAGAGCTGGATGAATCCAAGCTCTAGTTTCTCTACCTGCTGCTTCCCGTCCACCTTCTCCCTCGGGAGGTCCATAAAGTCACTCTGGAGCCAAAATAATGGGGTCACATCACGGGAGTGACCTGTCCTACCCCATCCCCACTTTTCTTGGCCCATAACAGGATTCACTCACCTTCACCTTCTCCGTGGCTTCCTACAGGGCCCGGTAGCTCTCCCCACACACAAACTCACCCCCAGTCCCTAGGGCTGGGGCCTCTGCCTTTGGCTCCTTCCAGGCCGAGGCCACCAGGTGAGCCAGGTGCAGGCAGCACAGCCTTCACACCTTCCATTGCCCACATAGCCGTGCCTGCTCCTCCTGGGCACTGGCTCCAGCGGAGTTGAAAATGCCACTCGAAGGCAAGAGCTGAGTATTCTTGTAGGGGCATACACAGAACAAATGGGGCAGGGAGGTGGAGCACAGCCCCTTCCCTTGGGGCCTCAGAGAGTGCACCTGTTGGTCACAGGTGAAGTGGTGTCTGACCACTGGCTCCCGGAAGGGGTGAAGGTCCAGAGAAATCAGAAGGTGGGGAAAGCAAGAGCATAAGGGGGTCTGGGAGGGACCACAGAGGAAGGTGGCAAAGTGGGGGCAGGGAAAGTCAGACTCACCGTGGCCTCCTGGCTCTCTATGTCCTCTGGGACACTTGGCATAGACCGAGGCACCCCCTCCTCCTCAGTGTTCAGATGTCCTCCTCCATCTCCTGTGGGGAGGTGGCCAGAGGGGTCCTCAGAAAACCCAACAAGGGAAGTACTGTGGG